CTTCTCCTTAGGCAGGAAACCCTACACCATTTCAGACAAATGCTTACCCAATCTTTTCTTTAAAACTTCTAGTGTTGGAACATATACAACTTTTGGAGGCAAGTTGTTCCACTGATTGATTGTTCTACCTGTCAGGAAATTTCTCCTTCGTTCTAGCTTGTTTCTCTCCTTGATTAGTTTCCAACCATTGCTTCTTGTCCTGTCCTCAGTTATATCATATAACTCATCACAGATATGCAAAATAATATCAACAGTAATCAAAATAATCAATAATCAAAAAGGATAAGCATAAGGATAAGGACTATGTAAAATAAAGATAAGGAAAAGGACTATGCAAAATATGTAGACACGCAGTTTAAATTAAGGATAGTTTGGATATTTAGATATAACTGGGAATATACTTTATATAAAGATCAAAATAATTTTGAACAGCTTTTCTCTGTCCATTTTCATTTGACTTGCACAACCAGTGCAGTGGAGATAACGCATACTATTATTCCTTATTGCTAAGATAATGCTGAATGTGTCGAATCAGTTAAATGTTGGGCTTGATTTAAAAATTTGGGGCATCCGTTGGTTTTATTCCTACCTGTGTAAGAAATTAGCTTTTTAGTTAAGGACAGGCATTTATGTTTGGATACCTATGCTAAAGACAAAATGTCACAGGATCTTCAGAGGGTAGAATCCCAAACAATTGCTATGGTCTTCAGGATGAAAGAATGCAAAGATATATGATTGATCTGTTAATCTGATTTTAATGAGATTAGCCTACAGTATTTTTTAAAGCCTCTTTGTTCACAATAAGATGCCAAAATGCAGAAGAGAGATAGATGAGGCTGTTCATGGAAGAACTTGTATGAATATGCACATTAAGAAATCTGCAAAAATCTGATCATCTCCTTAGGGCAGGCACAGAGGGAAGAGACCTTTGAGTCTCTTGCTTTGAAAGTCATTAGCTCTCCTTATTTGTATTCAATGTCCAGATATGACATGTGTTTCCTGAAGCCAAAACAATATGTTGCATTACCAGATGTCGATGGATGACTGGCTTCTGCTCCTTGCTTTGATCAAGTGGTATGATATAAAATGCAAGTGTTGTTTTTATTTACTTATTTAATCTGAGATAATCAGCTTTTCACAGTCTTTAGCTAAAAAGTGGGTCTCATTATTCTTGATTATGTGCCAACAAGAACAGGTGGCATTAATGCTTTGGGGACTGCCCCATCTTGTCAGTATAATTTAAAGAGCTAGTTTTGACCTTTAAAGATCCCCCATGGCTTAACTCCAAGGTATTTCAAAGATTAGTTTTACCTTATGTCCTGAAAGATTTGGTTGACAATTCCCCATTTTCGTGAGGTAAGAAGAATGGAAGTTGGTGTTGCATCTATTCTCTACAATACCTTCCTCCTGAAATTCAAAATGCCTCCATTTATGAAAATTACCGTAGAATATGACAATACCCACACATACAAAATGTATGTCTGAGAAGAATGATAATGGAAACAGAACTGCTAGATTAGTATATTAAGTAAAAAAGTGAATATTCTGTCTAATTCAGGGGTGGGTTCCTGCCAGTTCTAACCTCTTCTATAGAAGAGNGGCGATATGCTGACTCTGTAAACCGCTTAGAGAGGGCTGAAAGCCCTATGAAGCGGTATATAAGTCTAACTGCTATTGCTATTGCTATTGAAAGCCCTATGAAGCGGTATATAAGTCTTATTGCTATTGCTATTTCAGCCCTCTCTAAGCGGTTTACAGAGTCAGCATATCGCCCGCACAGTCTGGGTCCTCATTTCACCCACCTCGGAAGGATGGAAAGCTGAGTCAACCCTGAGCCGGTGAGATTTGAACCGCCGAACTGCAGCTAGCAGTCAGCTGAAGTGGCCTGCAGTGCTGCACCCTAACCACTGCGCCACCTCGGCTCTTACTCTTCACTCAACATATCGCAGGCTTTCAGTAATAGGATGGCTGGGACACTAGTTAGAAAGCGGTAGCGAGTTTGGATTTGAAGGCTACTGAAGAAGCTATTGAAATGAGCTTCTGGGACTGAAGGACTTGTAGCCTTCCATCTACCAAATATTAAGGTATTATTCATTTTTATCCAGATGTATACATAATCAATGTATAAAATAAATAAATAAATACAAAATAAATAAATAAAAAATAAATAAATAAATAACATATGAGATGCCAACTGCACCTTAATGTATGCCAATCCTTTCTGAAAAAGTTCATTTAAGGTTGTATAATTTTTATGAAACGCGAAAGCTCTTGAAACAAACTTGTTGAAGCAAGATTTTTTGATCTGATCTTATTCTCTTACAAGCATAGATTCATTGCCTCAGACTAAACCCTTATATTGAGAAAAATTATTAAAATATTAAAAGGGACAATGAAATCCCACATGTGTTGTCTGACACGTAAGTCCCAAGTAAGCAAGCAAAGGATTATAACTTTGAGTAGGTAGGCATAAGACTGTTATTAAGCACCCAAATTCCACTCTTTGGACAAAATATACGATGAGCTTGTGGTAGGCATCATATTTTTTGCCCGTCTGGAAAGATGAAAGAATTTAAATACACCGGCAGAGAGATAGAAGAGCTACTTGCTAAAATGAATAGAATGCAATCAGAGACTTGGAAAAGATATTCAATTAGTCCTCGGCTTACGACCACAATTGAGTCCATAATTTCTGTTGCTAAGTGAGACAGTGCTTAAGTGTATTTTGCCCCGTTTTACAACCTTTCTTGCCACTATTGTTAAGTGAATCAGGCTCCCCCGTTGACTTTGCTGGTTAGAAGATTGCAAAAAGTGATCCCTAATTCCGGAGCACCTCAACCATCATAAAGATGAGTCAGTTGCCAAGCCTCTACATTTTGATCACGTGGCTATGGGGATGCTGAACTGTCATAAGTGTGAAAAACGGTAATAATATGAACGGTCCCTTTTTTTCAGCGCCGTCGTAACTTCAAATGGTCACTAAATGGACTGGTGTAAGTTAGAAACTACCTGTAGTTCTAATACTTACTGTCACAACTGCCGATTCTTGTAATAACCGAGCAAGAAATTTGAGGACAAATGCCACACAAGAGTGGAAGTTTCTCTTACAGTTCTTAAAAATGGGTACGTACCATGTAAGAACAGAGTCACGGTATGGAACAAATAACTTCTTCCGGCTTTGATTTTGCTCAGAGAGGGCAGAAATAACTTTCCCCAGAGTTAGCAAGGACTTGTTAATGCTTGCACCTTCCTGTATTGATTAAAAAGAAACATCAATACGTTTAAAATCCTGATTCCTTGTGGAAATAGATTTTCAGCGCTGTAATGTTATAGAACAACCTTCTCCGGTGGCCTGCAACTTTGTTGGGACTTGTGTACCCAGGATTCCCAATCCGCATTGCAAAGGCCAGTTGGGGGCTTTACAAATTGCAACCCGTCACATGGCACCAGTTGCGGCCCTACCTGGACCGGGGGGCACTCCAAATGGTCACTCACGCCCTCGTCACCTCAAGACTCGACTACTGTAACGCGCTCTACATGGGGCTGCCCTTGAAAAGTGTTCGGAGACTGCAGTTGGTC